AAAAAGGATTAGTTCCTAATACTTAAAATGCTACCTACTTAGGAGGTTTTGCTTTCTTAGAGGAAACTTTTAAAGGAAAAATAGTTGGAATGGTTGAGGATGCATGTGTTCTTTTCTACCTGGTTTTGGTACTCAGCTGCTGGAATTTTGTAGTCTTCCCCCCAGGTGTGCTATTCTGTTCCTAATGGCCACTTCAGGTGAGCCACCTAATATTATAGCAGCCTTTGAAGGTTGGGGTGTTCGTAACTTCTCCCTTTCCTACCTTGCTCGTCCCCAGGGGGAATGAATCAATCTAGTCAACATGCTGCCCCAAGACTGCTACTCTATTCTATTGAGAAAAAGGTGGAAGAAAATAATTTCTGGCTTTATACTGTCAGACAAAACTAAAAAGATCAAAATTTGAAATGAAGCTACTTAACGTTACTGTTGCAATTTCCAAGCTCCTTTTGCCTGGAGTTCTTTGTCAAGGTGGCATATCCCTGAAATAATGATCCTGTCCTCTGTAGTTACAGCATACATTGTAGTTGACTAACTTTTTAATAAGATGTCTTATTTGATCTTGACAATAGTCCTGTGAGCTGGACAGAGCAAGGATTCTCTTCAGTTTGAACACAGGATAGTTTAGGTTGGTTTTAAAAAGGCTACTGGGGAAGAAATGAAGTGAGATTTACCCAGTTAAGTTCCAAATCTTGTATTCTTCCTGCTCTGCCATGAAAAGGTAAAGTTTTAAAAACTTTTTTTCATGCCTGTTTTCAGTGTAATATATGTTTATTTCATATGTAATGTGATTTACTGACCAAACATTACTTCTTTTTAAGACCTGAAAACCACCTTCTTTATGGTAACCAAGCTCTTTGCTTTCTTTGTACTGGACAGTTTAGGTAAGTTGGTTAAAGTACCACACTCATTGAATTGTTATGCTAAATGGCCATTTTGGAGGAGACAATTCTGTCTCATACCAGCTCAGCTCATACCACTAGTGAGTACTGATGCTAATTTGAACACAGATCTTAGTTGATGTCAAAGTCTGTGTTTATAACACCTATAATATACTATGTCCTTTTGCACTATTAATTAATCTGTTTTGGAAGAAATATTTTTACTGCCTTCTTTTCTTCTATTTGGCTTGCTATGAAAAATTAAGTAAATATTCTTCCTAAGTGAAAGAAAGCACATAAACTTAATAATATTACTATGAGAGTGGAATCATAACTAATTCTTAATTTCTTATGTTGAATATATTTACTTGTTGAGAAAGATTGATGTAGATACTCTACCATGATTTTATTGACTTGTCAGTTTTAAAAATTTAAGAAATTAATTATAAGAATTAATATTGAACATGTAGACTATTATATTTAATTATGTAATACTTTACTGTAAGAAAGGTTTGGGGTATGCTGAAGAATATATTCACACAGTAGAATATTCAAAACACAATAAATCAGAAAACCAATTCAGAACTTGTTTTTGTCAAAACAAGGCTACATAGGTATATGGGCATGTAGAAATACTAATAATTCATATTTGACCCTAATCTCCTGTTGCTTAGAATGAAAAAGGAAAACTTGGCAAGCTATATAATTTTCATTATTTACAAAGCCCCAGTACACCAATTGCTGGAATGAGTTTTCCTCCTGGTGGTTCCTTCTGAAGGAAATTTCTTAAAAGGCTTACTAATAATGTTAATTGAATGATAAGAGCTAAAAAAATTCTAACAACATTGCTCTTTATAGTGGAAAAAAAACTCTGAAAATAAAGTTTTAGGTTTCACAAGTGTTTTTGTGATGTCAAGAAAACTGAGAACTTGTGGATGTGTAACCGACGTGACTCTGCATTCTGCATTTGGGGTAAAATTGGGAGTTCATAACCCACTTCAATCTAATGGAGGAAATATAATTTGTCAAGAGATTTGTAATGTTGTAAACAACCAATAACAAAACCTGAAAACCTGATTTCAGTTGTTTTTCAATAAAAGCACTTACGTTGGGATGTGGGAAGGTGGGGGTGGGGAAGACAATATATTCCAAGTATGTAGCTTTAAAAATAACATTTATTGTGTTTTTCTTTTATTATAAACAGAGCACATTCTCATGGTAGAAAATTTGAAAAATACCAGAGTTTAAAAAGAAGAAAATAAAAATCACCAGTAATCCAACCACCTTGGAGAATACCGCTATATTAACGTTATGAAGCTTTTAGATGGCTTAAGCCGTGGATAATCCAAGGCTAACTAGACTAGAGGAATGGATGGGCTTGACACAGTCTTCCATCAATACCACTGTCCTCAACTGGTTCTGACAAGAAATGAGCTGCAAATGTCTTTAGGTTATTGCCTCTGGCTAGGTCCAGAATTGCAGATATTCTGTGGTGTTTGAAGGTGAATCTGTATACTTTCAAGATCAGATGAATAGGTTTGCAACTTGGCTAGCCTCTTGTGAAAATTGAGGTGCCTGTCTGAAACTTGCTGGGCAAAAAGTCACCTACACTTGAGCTCTGAAAGCTGAGAGGAAAATCAGGGTGACTCACAAGGAGGATCCTCCTCAACCCCTGCTACAACAGAAGGTGCATGAAAATAAAAACACAGAATCAGGTAGCTTGGTGATGTAAAGGCCAAAAGCAGGGTATTCTTGTACCTCCTTCCTGATGTTATAGCTTATTGTTGTATGCCATCTATATTTTCACTAGAGCCAGGTCAGCAGCATTGAGAACACTTTGTTCTTTATTAGGCAATCACCAATATGTATTGGATGCCTGTTTAATATATGAAGCTATGCCACACCAGTTTTATTGCTGTTTCCTACCTTTTTACATACACATTGTTTATGTCATTTGCTTGTAATGTAGGGTTAATGTTTTCAGAGTCCATAGTATCACACCTGATCAAAATGATTAGAGTGATGAACCTTAAGAAAATAACATGTTGTTAGTAATTGAAATGTGCCACTCACATAGGAGGACCTATGTCCTGAGAAGAGCTTTTAGCTGAGTTACCAAGGTTGAGATGTTTTGAAGCTCTTGAATCAGAGGGATGCTAGTTGTGCCATGGGAATCCTGCTGAGCATCAGTGAGGAGAATGCATGCTCCTTCCACTAGTTTGGGCAAGAATGCAGTCCTCAGTTATTCCAGAAGGCCAGGCTTCCTCTCTGCTATTGTAAAAGCAAAGGTGGAGCTGCAAGAGAACAGAAATGGAACATTTAAAATTAAAATTAGAAAAGAGGAATAAAAGGATTAAAGTAAGAAATGCTGAAACTTCTAAAATAATTTAATTCTAAAAGATTAGTAAATATAAATTGGGACATTAAAAATCAAATTTTAAGGAATAACTTCGGCAAGTTTATTCTCTAAAAGGGTAAAAATAATAGTACTGTGTTTAACAACATGGGTGTGCTGTTGTGAATACTTTATGTAAATTTACTTATAAAAACCTTCACAACCATGTGAGGTAGGTGCTGCTGCCTCTTTACACATAGAGAGCCCAAATAAAGTATACAAGGTATATGTGATGGAGCCAGTGTTTGAGTCCAGACAGCCTGGATGCAGAGTCCTTATTATTATTCACTATGGAAAGGTGATGATAGAATAAAAAGGAAATGTGAAAGTTGATAATTTTTAAAAACAAATAATCCAAATAGTCAATAAACATTAATGAGGACATGGTTATGCTTACATGACATGCAGATTAAAAACTACAAGTTTCTTTTTCATATCCATCAGATTGACAAAAACTTAAAAACTTCGTAATACCAAGTGCTTGAGAGGATGTGGAACAAAGGAAACTTTCATACTCAGCTGGAGAAAGTGTAAATTGGTACAGTCACTTTGGAGAGAAATCTGACAAGGTGAAGATTTGCATATTCTGCAGCCCACTTCTAGGGTCATCCCTTCCAAACTCTAAATGTGTACTCAAGAAGATGTGTACAAGCCTTCATATATAGCATTGTTTGTAAGAGTAAAGAAATGGAAACAACCTAAATGTCCATCAGTAGCGGAATGAATAAATAAATTATGGTATATTCATACAATGGAATTCTCAATGGCAGTTAAAATGAATGCAATGTTGGTGAAAAAAGCAAGTTGCAGAATGATTTGTGCAGTATGATGCCATTTATATAATGTTTAAAAACATGCAAAACAACATGCATATTCTTAATACAGAGAATGTATTAAAAATGTTTTAAAAATGCATGGGCATGTTGAACACCAGGGGAGTGTCTATCTCTGGGGAAAAGGAGGGAAAATAATTAACACAGTGGATGTCAACTGTAACAAACTTCTGCAAAAAAAGCCGAAGTAAATATGCAAAATGTTAATTTCTTGCTAAGTTGGTACACAGTTGGTACATGGGTGTTCATTATGTTAATGTTATTCTTTGTACTTTTATAGTAAACTTGAATTATTTCATAAAGTGTAATTAAAAGTGCACATAAAAGGGGAAAAGCCCAAAACAGTACTCCCTAAACATCAGGGGTAAAATAAGTGAAAAATTATCTTCAAAGAAAAGAAATATAAATATTTCAAGGCCAATGGCAGAGGGAAAAAAGCCTGAGATGAAGTATGAGTTGGGAAATAAATGGTGCGTTCAGAAATGATCAAGGTATCTGTGATAGTGATTTTAATGTTAAAATAGTCATGCAGTTTGAAAATCATAGAGCACCTTTGAATGGATGTAGTTGAAGCCAAGAGCCAATGAAAACCTGAGTCTGTTAATGTTGTGTTCTGGAAATGTGGAGATGGGATTAGAGTGAGGGAGGGATGGGTGTGGGGAACTATGCTGCCTCTTGCTTCTCCTGTCTACTTCTCCCTCCTCCTGTGAAATCCTTTCAGGCTTAGAAATGTGTGTGGTGAGGGCCAGTGAGTCCCAGGATTCCCTCTGTGGATGAGATTCCCTTTTACTTTGGTTTTCTAAGAGCGCACTTTTCAAATACAATTTGATAACTGCAGGATATTATTATTATAATGACAGTTGTGATTGAAGTAACCAGAAACTTGTAGTTCAGAGGAGAATCAAGGAAAAGGAGTTGGACATACCTGTAACTTTGGTAGCTAATGCAGCACATGCAATATCTAGCAATAGGCTTTGCTCACTTGTCCTTTAATTTGTTCTCATGGGACTCCTACATGGAAAATTCAGATTCTTCTGCCGGAGGTATAATGAACAGTGCAAGAAATGTAATTGGAGAAAGGAAAAGCTTAGGCTTGAATGTTTTTTTTTTAATTTACTTTAGAAAATCATGGAATTTTAAAAGTTGATATTTGACCTTTTTGATATTAATTTATTTACTCAGGGCTTGGGATATAGCTCAGTTGGTAGATTGCTTGCCTGTCATGCCTTCAATCCCCAGCACCACACACATAAAAGTTAATTTATTCATCATACAATGTTCCCTTTCATCAGATGCCAATTGTGATTAGTAACAGACTCCTCCCTTGGCTATTTTTTCTGGTTTTTTTTTTTTTGTGAGATAAAAGGTATAAAGCAACTTAACTGTATGTTTCTGTGAGAATTTGAAAAATCGTGTGTGTATTTTCAGTGTGAATATGTTAGTTTGATGAATTATTCCTCATTCTCTTTTACTTGTATGGTTTCTATTTTTATTTAGAAGCTACTGAACTTGTTTTTGAAGAAAACAGTTTTTAGTCTTCTTCGGGGTATACCCCCTTTTTAAAAAGCAGAAACATGATGATAGTAAAAGATTGAGTAGAAAAGGGTACACTGAAATGTCTGCCCAACTCAGATCTATTCCCTAATCCCTCTCTTCATGTTCTTATGCATTTCCATAATGTCTTATGCCTGTAGAAATACTCATTATGTGGAACCACATGAAATAATTTTTGTAAATCCGAATATAGAAAATTTTCACTTCGTACAATGTAATATGTCTTTAAAAAAAATCATGGTGGAACATAACTACAATGTGCTTGTACATCTTACTTTTTTACATTTAAATCCAGGAGCTTGTTGCATATCAGTGTATTTAGAGATCTTCCTTGTTCTTTCTCATGACTATGTAGTATTTTACTGAATGAATTACTCAAGTAATCTATCAGTTTTTACATATGCTTTGTTAGCACAGATTATTTTGTTTATAATTAGATTTATTAGGACATTGATTTTCAATTTTAAATAATTAATTACAGGTCCATAATAAGTATCCTTTTACTTATGCTGTGTATCCAGGTACAAGTATATCTGTAGGATAAATTCCTGATAACTTTCTGTTACTTAAAGAGCATATATAATTTTAAATTCAGATGCTTTAAAAAAAATACTAGGTATTTAATCCAGGGATGCTTTGCCACTGAGCTCCAATCCCCAGCTCTTTTTAATTTTTTTTTTTATTTTGACATAGGGTCTTGCTAGTTATAAGCCAGGCCTTGAGCATGTGGGATTATAGGCATTTGACATTGTGCCTGACCAGATACTAACATTTGATTCAAAATGTATATGCTTATTCAACTAATGGTTATTAATCACTATATTTGACAGTGACTCTTACATCTGAATTCTACTTTTGTAGTTTAGTGGTAACATTAAGAAATTTGTGAAATAGTTATTATTTCTTTGTTGAGAAATGAGACTAAGGGGAGAAAGCTTGAGGCTCACAAAATTCTTGTATTTACATGTTGTACTTAGAGAGTCAGTAAATAGCATCTGTTCTGCACCCAAGTCTAGAATTAATTAAGAGATGGTTGCAGAAAATGGGCTACTTTTAGTCACATGTCACCTTCATCACTGATAGAATCATTAGGATGAGGAGACTTAAGTCTGGTAGCTAAGTGGCTTGTTATTAATTCAGAAACAGTCACGAATGGGACTGGAAAACCAGGATCCTGTTAACTTTAAGTCTGGAAGAAAAGGGAATCTGGTGTCTCTCAGGTTTTTTTAAGGTCTCAGAGTGAGAAAAAAGAGGCTAAGCCACATATAATTAGTGCCTCCCATGCCCACCACTGGGAAAAGTTAGGGGTAGAGAGAGGAATGTTCCCGATTAATTAGCAAAACAGCATGGAATAGGTACTCTTTCCTAATGTTATTTTAGGGCAAAATGTAGCATATTGTGTACATGAGGTAGTAGGGTGGTTGGAGAAATAAACATACTTTCCTATTTAATAGTAATTAGAGTGCCTCTACCTAGTATTCTGACCATGTTACATAGTTTCCAATAGTAAATAGCTGTTTGTATCTTCCCATTGTCATCAATGTATGTTGCTCAGTATTTCTGTTGCCAAAAGTCTCACCCATTCACCAGAGTGATTAGGATTGCAGTGGTTTAGATGAGCCGTAGCCCCATGTGATTTACTATGCTCACTTTGCTTTAATAGTAGGATATGGCCACAATGGTAGTAAATGTGAAAATTTATAGCCAATATGTATTCATATATTAGTAAAAATTTGGGTATTTATAGTATATGGTACAATTGTAATATTAATGTAATACAATTATAGTCATAGCATTAATTTAAAAGTAGCATTCAGCCCTGATTCAACAAATTCTTGGGATTCTTTCAGAAAAATCTTGGCTGATGTCAGAAATTAGCAAAAAACACATAGTTCTTGTGTTATTAACAGTGGGCCAGAAATGTGAAGGCCTGGGATGGGAAGGGCTGTGTTGCATTTGTGGAACTGATAGTGTTCCAGGTGGCCTGAAGACAAAGGCGAGGGAGAGGTAATCTGGCACTAGACCTTGTAGGCTACAAGGTCTAGTGCCAGATTACCTGATTAGGCTTTTAAAAGTGGTGAGAAAAAAGTAAAGGATTTTGTAGTAAGGGGAGACAGCACCATTAGTACAATGGGGAGAATGGATTTGAGGGGGATGCAGTATGGAAGTGGGTTGGGAGTCTGTTGTAGGACTACAG